GAAGCCTCCTGACCTCATGGTGTCAAGCTGCTACTTGGAGGGGACTACTGCTGAGGTCACAGGCTAAAGCCACGCCTGGCTGACCAGAGGAGGAATAATATTCCAAATGCCATTCACCCATGGGAAAGGCAAGTCCCCAAAGCAGGATGCCACATCTTGGACAATTCTGTGGCAGGCCTCTACGATATCCCCCAAATTCAATCTACCTCTTCTTCCATGGTGAAATCCCCCAAAATTCAGCTGAAAATGCAGAACAAGGATCACATTTCCCAACTCTCTTGCAACTCAGCAAGTGACTAATTCTGTGCAATGAAAACAGAAAAGGAGCATCAAGCTGCAGCTTCCAGAACCTTCCTTAAAAGATAACTAGGGCTTGCTCCCTTTTGCTTCCTCTTCATCCTCACGTCTAGATCTTGGACGTGATGGCTGGAGGTTTAGCCACCACCGTGGTCCAGGAGGGCCAGACTATTGGAGAACAGTGAGCTGGAAGGTGTGGGTCCCACTGTTGCACTCTAGTGCTGACAAGCTTCCCCTGGGCCTTCACGTTATAGAGGAAGGAAGTGCTATCCCATTCAAGCCACCGTCTTTGAGGTCTCTACTGTTATAGGCACTTGCATGCTGACTGAGTGGCCGGAAGCTGGCAGATCTGAGGCAGAGGAAGGGCCCTGATTCCCCTCCTGGCTTTGAGTTATAGGAAGAGCTCTGGGAATATGGAACTGGGATGGCACTGACCACAGGTCACACACAGGTGAGGCCAGGGATGAAGAAGGGGGACAGGGACATCGGCCTGCTATCCCTAAGGATCCTCCCCATGTGCCACAGCAGTCAGGGCCACGGTCTCCTCCTTCCCAGATCCGACAGGAGCCGACCAGCCCTGCAGCACCCACGCTCTGTCTTCCCTACAGTCTGGATTCTCCAAAACAGGGAGTCACCACAGCCCGGGGTGCTGATGGCTTGGAAAGGCTCGCCACACCCCTCTCCCACACAAAAGGGGTACCATTGGGTTGCTATAATTATCTGAGGGAACTTCAGGAGCGACTTGGCCACTTACAGCAGGCCTACAACAGTTGTATGCCTCCAAGAATAGCAGCAAGCAGGGCCCAGGGGTGCTGGGGACACCTCTCCCAGGTAGGCTCTGCACCTGCCAGGGGTGGGAGGGGATCTAGCAGAGACCCACCCAGAGTGCTGGTCCCCTGGTAAGCAGGAGGGAGCTCCAGGAAGGCCCAGCCTCTGGACGCCCTGCTGGAAGAACACAAGCCAGGTTCAGCACACACGGTAAGGAAAATCCAGGGTGCAGCTCGCGCAGCCCTGGCCCACAGGTCCTGCTGGACTAGGTTCCTGGGGACAACCGTCACAGCAGTCCATCTGGTGGCTCCTGAGCAGTGTCTGGGGTTAAGGGTTTTGAGTTCAGCAGAACAGCCTCTGTCTGGCGCTCTTCCTACCAGATGTCTGTCACCAGCCCCTCAAGTCTGAGGCTGGGTCTGGGCCACCATCAAATGTCCAGGATCCAGTCACCCCTCAACAGAACACAGGAAATGGCCGTTAGAAGCTTCTCCAGCCATTTCTGCACTGAGGTGTCTAAGACCTCATCTCCTCACTCAGCAGCTCAAGCGCCTGCAATGGCCGCCCAAGAATGAGGTCCCTCACTGTACCCTCTGGCCCAACCATCAGTCTCCCTGTGCTCACCACACTGCCCAGCCTGAAGGCCCAAGTTGCTGTAGCCCCCAGCCTTGCCCACCCAAGTCCCAGCTATCATCAGCACGTGGGGAGAAAGTTCCCCACAGGAACGGAGGCGCAAGCCATCTGGATTTGAGTCGCCCGAGTCTCACGTCACAGATGGGGTTAAAAAACGGGCACCTTCGCATGAGAGAACCGCAGACAGTTCGAGACATCGCAGTCTCGCCTCCACCCCAGAGCAGACTCCCAGGACAGGGTCAGGTCTCCATCCATAAGAACAAGAACCTCACAGCCAGAGAGGAAGCTTCGAGCCCGAAGGCCACAGGCCTATCCTAACGATTGGCTTGAGGGGATCAGGCTTGGGGAGCCTTCTTGTTACGGGGGCCCTTGCTCAGCATCTGCCGGGTGACTAACTCACACAGAGGCGCAGCCAGCAGCCCGAGTGCTCACTTCCGTCTCAGGTGGGGGCCCAGGGCAGTGAGCAAAGCAGACCCTGGGACAGATGAGGTTACAAGAGGAGCAACCTCCCCATGAGAGGAACTGCAGACAGAGGAACTGCCCCCGAGATGCCTGGAGAGTGCAGCAGACAGACTGCCATTCTGGGCCCCTGCTGGAGTGGCCACAGGCCCCAAGACTTTTTGGAGTCAGCTTCCCCATGGGGACTCAGGGAAGGCCCGGGAGCAACCGTCAAGCCCAGGGGAGGCAGCGTGCACCTTGGTCCTGATCCACCTCCCTTGGCAATCCCACCGGCTGGGGTGGCTGCCCTCCGAGACACGTCTTACACAGACCTCTTCTGTCTCCGCCCCTTCACTGCAAGACATTGCCACTTACATCCAGGCTCCACCCGGCAGCCAGTGGGCTCTCCAGAGCCCCAGCAAAACTGGAGCACTCCCCAGCTCCAGCGTCCCAACGTGACTCCTTACTGCTCAGGAGAGACCAAGTTCCAGAGCCTCGCAAGCAGGCTAGGGCTCCCTGCTGCCACCTGGTAGGTACCCTCTACCTGGTGCCGCAGCCGAGCCTTACCAGCAGGCTCCTGCTCCTTGACCACTGCACACGCATGCGCCCCAGACCCCAGCTAGCCCTGCCCACCCCTACCCCCCACCAGTCCTGCTTTTCAACTTGTGAAAATCTGTCCTAGGCTGTGGGACACAACCCAGGGCCTGGGCCCTGCCGCTACAGCAGAAGCAGAAACCAAAGCATCCCCAGGTGCCCCCATGGGCCACACAGCAAGAGAAGTCTCCACAGACACTGTCCCAGTTATCCTACCCTGGGACCTTAGGAGGAGCTACTTGTTATCCACGTTTTCCAGAACACAGGCAGGGCCAGATCGAGTGACTTGTCCAAGACACAGAGCCAGCTGAAGCCCAGACTGGGGCCCATCTTCAGTCTGTCTCCCTCCAAAGCCCGCGTTTTACTCTGAAAAAGTCCCTTGTGGCACCTTCTCTGAATCGTCCACTTCCACTGGGCTGTTTGTGGACATCAGAGGTGGCTGCAGACCTGCCATCTGCCTCCTCCAGTTGGCCGTATCATGTCAAACGCTCTTCTCTTGCCCCTTTACCCAGTGTCCAGTAAGCACGTCTTCGGGAAAAGGCTGATTCCAGAACCAATCCCCATCTTGGTTTCTATACCCACCAGGAAAGGGAAGTAAACCACTCCAGGCCCAGGGAGCGAGGCTGCTGCCCTGGTGCTGAGGCACCTGCCCACAAGGGGGCCCCGGGAGTCTCTGCAGGCTGCACACCAGGCTGTCAGTGTCAGGCGCCCAGGAACAGCCCCCAGACCCCTCCAAGGACATGGGGCTGGCACCCAGCCCTTTCCCGGAGCGTGTCCTTAGAGAACTGAGGATCACCATCTCTCAGGACCAGCACCCTCTGGCCTTGGATGGGAGGCAGGAGCTAGGAGCCTGGCTAGCTGCTGGCCCAGGCTGTGTGACGTCAGTGCACCTGCCAAGCCTGTGGCTTGTGTCCCTCCACTCCCACCAAAGGTTCATGGGATTGAAGGCTTGGTCCCCGGGTGGTGGTTCTGAGAGGGAGGATAACCTGTAGGGCGTAGGGCCTGCAGGAGGTCCTTAGGTCACTGGGGTGTGAGCCGGTTCTCCTGTCACCCCTGGGTAATTCTTGTGAAAGAGTTCTTATGAAAGGAGCAAACCTGACCCAAATCAGCTCTTTCTACTCCTGGTTCAAGATGTTACCATCTGCTTGTTCCTGCCTGCTCCCACCATTGTTACCTACTATAAAGTGACAAAGCCAAGTTCTGGCCCTTGCCAGAATCTGTAATATGCTGGTTGGACTTTTCAGCCTCCAAAACTATGAGCTAAATAAACTTCTTTACTTTTATAAAGGTAGCCTGTCTCAGGTATCTTGTTACAGTAACAAAAAGCTAAGTTACATAGCCTCCATGACTTGTGTGAAATGGGAAGGACCACTGTACCCACCAAAGAGCACTGAAAGAGACAACGAAAGGAGGCTGCCCAACCCAAGAGCACAGGGTGCATATCCAGCGAATGCCACCCCCATAGTTCTGTGACAGTCCCCTTGCAGACAGGCTGTCTCCAGCCCTGTGAAACAAACTGCGCCTGCTGGTCCCACCATAATGGGAAACAAGCAGGTCAGGGTTCAAGGCAGCCACGGCGCAATGGAGGTCTGTGTGGCTGGGGACAGGAGGCCGCCTCTCCTGATGCCAGGATGAATCCTTAAGTAGCCCCCAAGCCCAGGCAGAGCACTTTTTCTTAAAAATTAAACAATAGTCCCAGCAGGGACCAGAGCCCAGAAGAGAGAACTAGGAAGTTATGAGCACAATTCTCCAAAAAGTCTCCTGCATGCGGACACACAGCTTTAAGAGGCTGTCTGGGCTTCCCTGGAGCTGCTCTGCTCCCTGAGGGGCGGGAATAGGGAGAGGGGCTCCTTGGGGACAAGACCCTGCAGCCGGGGAAGCTCCACACCCAGGGGCAGGCTCCCACCCGCCAGCAGAGTGCACCCGTGGAGTGTGCCGCCTGCTGCCTGTCTGTGTGGGGACGAAGGCCCTTCGTTTCTGTTGGAATCCTTGGTCGGGCTGCATAACTCCACTGGCCCTGGACTCGTACTCCCTGATCACAGCATGAAGTGAACCCCAAGGGTTCAGAACAGCAAACAGAAACCTCTCCCAAACAGCACCCCGAGTGAGAGCAGGGAGAGGAAGGACCTCCCCAGAATGACTGTGCCCAGGAACTCAACTGCTTCCTGCACCAAAGTGCTTAAAAAGACACAACCCCTTCCCCTCCCACGCACTGTCCACCTGTGACCACAAGGCAGGGCTGCGAGCCACGGATGCTGAGCACACGCCTGTACCTTTCATGTAGGCCTCAATCTTGCGGATAAGTTCATAGGACTTGGAGCGGTCAAGCAGGGTCCTGATGGCAGGGAGGGGGTCCAGGACAATGGTCTCAGGGTGGGCATCAATGTATTCCTGGAAGGAAAGCAGATCTTGGTTAGAAAGCAGGCTGAGGCCAAGGAGACAGGCACAAATTCATCCCTGAGCCCTCGTGTATCCAGTGTATCCATCCCTTTCTTGTCCCTCCCCCATCACATGACTCTGGCGTGACCAATCAGTGCATCCCAGCCTAGGGCTACTGGCTCAGGAGAAGAGGGATGATCCTGAGCCTGTCCAATCAGAAGCAGGCTCAGGGGGTCATGCGGGGGAATGGTAGGATAAGAATGTCCTCAGCTTTAGGAAGAAGGTGGACACATGGAGACTGGGCAGCTGTGAGCAATCACCATGGGAACTGAAGGCAAGGCCTGTTTGAGGCCTAAGCTCAGAAAATAGCTGAGGATTAGAAGAGCCACCAGGTCTGGTCAAGTTGTCTGACCCCTGGATAAAGCCTCACCTGAAGCCAGATCTGATCCCCGTGCTGATTTGCTCCACAGGAGAGCCAGCCCAGCACTGAGACGGGGGCCAGAGGGAAAGAGGAAGGATGCTGGGGGCATGAGAAACTCTGTGGGAAGGAGTGATGGACAGAAGTGTCCCAGATGGCTACTCAACACTCAGGAACTTCCCTTCAATACCTATTGCCTTTGTGGTGGCACTATGGAAACGCAAGAGTAACTGATAAAAGCCTGTTCCTCTCTGGCTCTTTAGACCCTTCGATTCTGAAGACAACATCATGGAATGCGGGAGAGAAGGCAAGGGTCTAGAAAAGCCTGGCCTGGAGGAAGTCCATTCCCCCTGTGGCGGGTTGAACGATGCCCTAGGCACATGTTCTGCTCCTACCCCTCTGCGTCCTGTGCGTGGGGCCTTGTTTGGAAACAGTCTCCAGATGTGATAGCTTAGGAAGTGGTCCCACTGCACAAGGGTGGGCCTGATCACCAACTTCCTTATAAATGAGGCAGAGATCGGGACACAGGGAAAGCCCACACGAAGACACACAGCTGAAGTGTCGTGGGCACCTGTTAAGGAGTGCCCGTGAGCACCAGGAGCACAGCAAGGGGTGGACAGGTGCCCCTCAGAGCCTCGGGAACAACAGCTGCTAACCCCTGGACCAGGCTTCAGGCTTCCGGTACTTGGCTAGACCACGCCAGCTCACTCTGTCCCCTCGAGGTTCTCCCCACACAGCCAGCACACCCCCTGGAGGGTCAGTGAAGGTCAGCAGGGAGCACCACCCAAGTCTTCTTTACTGGTAAATCTTTATTTTTTTAAATATTTTTTTAGTTGTAGGTAGACACAACATCTTTATTTTATTTATTTATTTATTTATTTATGTGGTGCTTAGGATCGAACCCAGGGCCTCACACGTGCACATGGTAAGTGCTCTACCACTGAGCCACAACCCCGGCCCTTCTGGTAAATCTTACAAACAAAAAGCAAGATGCACTTGGGATTTTTTCCCCATGAACCCATTTTGGTTTCTAATAATCTTTTTTATTATTTTTATTTATTATTCTGACTCAAAAGCAGGTCCATACCAACTTCCTGAGTGTTCCACACCAGGACGTGTGGTTTACAGGCTCTTTTCTCTGGATGCTACAATCCCCTCGGGCCCTGGGTGGTGGCCAGGGCACTGCTGGGAGGCCTGGGTTCCTCTCGGCAAACCTGTGCTGTGGACCTACATGCAGGACACAAGCAGCCCCACTGCTTCCCCTCCTTGAAGACAAAACCGTCAGCGGGTCAACTGGGCCAGCTGCCAGCTGCTCAGGCCAAGTGGGCCAGGCAGCTTACGTGGGATGCCCACGTCCCACCAACATGGGTTCAGGGACAAGCTGAGCAGCAGCCTAAGGAGGCATTATCTAGAGCTGCCCTCAAGCCTCCCCCCCACAGCCTCCTCCTCACCCAAGAGCCTGCCGAGGAGCCCCCACCTCTCCTCTGGGGCGTCTGCCGGCACCTACCCTCTGGGCACCATTCCTTCACCAGTGTGCTCTTGCAAACCAGGTCTCGGCTTCCACCAGAGCTTGTCCCTCCCGAGACACACCTCATGAGACCACAGCAACACACTAATGTGAAAAGGCTGCCCCTCAGCCAGCTGGCAGTGCCGGCCGGCTATGCTGGGCCTCACGCAGGCTGCAGCCTTCCACACTTGGTGCCCACTGCTCTGTGATCCTGGCCAACAAGGTCGTGCTCTGGGCCAGGGCCTGGAAGCACCCAGCTCCTGCCCCCACTCCCCACGAGCCAGGCAGAGCCTGTGCCATACGAAGAGCACGTGGCCAGCAGCAAGAGACCCAGGCTCCCAGTGTCGTCCACCTCGGTGCACCTCTGGGCAGGTGCTGGGCTCCTCAGGGCCTCTATTTCCTCACAGTGACTTAAGAAGTTACTGAAGATGACTGCAGAGGTCCTCATAAAGACAAAACTGGAGCCGGGTGAGTTTCCCACTAGAGGAACCCCAGGAGCAAGGTCTGGGGTTCCTCTAGTTCCTCTGAGGCTGCGGGCTGCTCTGGAGTGGGAGGGACAGCCACTTGCGGGAGGCATCGAGGTGACAGCAGGGTTACACACATACTCTCTCCCCTCCTCCAGTATCAGATGCTCATCATGCTGGGTCAGCCTGGTCCTCCCCAGGCAACCCAGGCTGCTAAGAACAACTGGCGTGCTCCCCCTCCCCCACAAAGGGCCCGAGAGGAGGATCCGCCAGTTGCTGAGAAACAGCACTGACGTTGGTCCCACTTTATGCACCAGGGTGGGTGACCTTTCAAGATTCAAGAGAACCCAGCATGTGAGTTTAAGACAAACTCAGTGGGGAAAAGGGTCATGAGAAACCAGAAGGAAAAATGTCTGCCAAGCAAGTGCCTGTAAGCTCCGGAACTTGCACGAACGCATCAGGATGACAGTCGCTCCAGCACCGCCTCTCCCGGGAGGACACAGAGGGAGGACACAGAGCGGGCAAGGGGCTTTGTCAATAGCCTGCCAGCCACAAGTGGAGTTTCTCCCAGGCTTTTCAGTTTATCTATTGTACTGAAGGCCCTCATGCATTTTTCACAAGTCTCTTAGAATTACCAAACAAATTGCTGGAAGAAAAGGCCCAAACCGTCTCCATAGCAAACGGAAAACATGCTCCCCGAGGGCCAGCCTGCCAAGGAATACCCAGAGCGGGCTCCTGGAAGCGGAAGTGCAGGGCCTCACACAGGCCCGCACAGTCTGGCCCACGGCACCAGGAGGGGTGGTGAAGGGACTGCTGCAGGGACAAGGGGGCAGAGAGGAGCCAGGTGCCCTCCCAGGCCCAAGCTCCCAGGGGCCTGCAAGACGACGCCAACATGGGCATCAGGGCTCTGTGGGGCTAGAGGGGTCAAGCTTCTCCTCTGAGAATCTAAGCCAAATGAGGGCTGAGAGGAGCATCAGAGATACCCTTTCCTCTGTGGTCCTTGCAGGCAGGAAGTGAGGAAGTGTGAGATGCAGGCTTTGTTCTCATCTAGTAGAAGATGCTGTCAGAAGTCCCACCCCTGCCGCTGTCTGTCTGGGAACAAGATCCTGGAGGGAAGTCTCTGAAATGCCTTAGGTAAGCCCGAGTCTGAATAAAGCCATCGCGGGGAGTACTGTGGGTGTTGAGGATTCACGAACGTGGAAGGAGTGGGTGGATACAGAGAAGGATTCTCGTGGTTCTGTAACACACAAATTTTAGAGCCACACCTAAGGTCTTGGGCCAGCCCTGCCCTGCCCTGCCCTGTCCAGCAGATGGAAGAGCAGGCCAGCTCTGACCTTGGGACAGGAAACCTGGCTGTCCTGGTCTGTGCTAACCTCTTGCTTATGCCTGGAACACACACAATCCCTGACCCAAGAAGCCCAGCCTGTGCCCTCCAGGGACAGTGTGGCCAGGCAGGGGAGTCCACCAACCCACCATACCACCAAGTCTACCACACAGGCAGGAGGGGTCACCCGCTCCTCCCAGAGGCAGGAGAGGTCCTCACTGGGGGTGTCTGCCCTCTGGATTCTCAGGAGGGGCAGGGTGTAGAGGGAGAAGCAGGTGAGTGCAGAGGGAAGGAGCCTGAACCCAAGCTGGGGGCTAAGCTGCGGCGTGGCCCTAGAATAGCTTGCAGCTCGCTCTCTCCTCACCCACGTGACTCCTTTCTAAAATGAAGTCTGCAAAAACTGGGCAAGGGGCAACTAGGTCCTCCCCTTCTCCTACCCCCCACCCCTAGTTGTGCCAGACTGGATGTGAACACCAGCACTATCTTTCTAGAAGGAACAGGAGGCAGCTATTCAGATGGGAAGCACAAAAGAATAATAATCATGGTAAAAATAATCATAGCGATCACCAGGGACAACCTAAAAACAAACGAGCTGGCGCTTACGCTGGGCTTGCTATAGGCACCATGCTGGATGAAATGGTTTTTGAGCACCACTTCTTTTAATATAAAAGATTAATCCTAAGATTAAGAATTAAAACTATAAAACTCTTAGAAGAAAACAATGGCAAAGATCTTTGGGACCTTGAAGTAAACAGCCAGAGAAGGAAAGGCTGGACAACTAGACATCACCAGAACAGAGACTCCGTGAGTCAAAGGCCTGGCGTTGAGCAGCAGGACCTGTATGCGGCCTTGCTTGGCAGAGATGCCCAGGCACTGACCCAGCCGGGTGCTGGGAGGAACCCTGGGCACACCCTGAAGCCCCTACAGGTCTTGAAGCACCTCACAGGCTTGTGGGCCCCCCAACAGCACTGAGAGAGTGGCAGGACTCTCCCGTCTCCCTCAGGACCCTGAGAGCTGACAGGTTTTGGTCAGAGACAAGGTCCCCAGCTGTGGTTCTGCTGGGCCCAAACTCCCGCTCCCCCCCACCAGTGGTTCCACTTTCCACTAATGACCCTGGAGCAGAAGGCCTGCCCACGGGGCTCGGGAGAACTCCATCCAGGGCTGGGAAGCTCTCATCTGGGGAAAGGGGCAGCTGGGAGGTAGGAAAGGGGCCACCCCCTTCTCTCGGAGCGGGGCAGTGCTGCCAAGGGCAGACAGGCCAAGGAGCCGGGGCCACCAGGCCTCTCACCCTCCTCACAT